CTATGGCTTTTCAATGACTTGTACTAGGCTTACTTATATATCTAGATAACTTATAAATAGCAAAAGCTATATCTAGCCTAATACAATGCATAGCATACATTACACTTCCAATAGCACTAGCATATTCAAGTTGTGCAATTACATAACCTTGATTTTCTGTTAGTTTTATACTTGTATCATATAGAGCATTAGCTTTTTTTATATTAAGATACTTAAACTTATTACGCAGTTTTCTCAATATAATGACTTTGATTAAGTATGAAACCCTTGTTATATCTCTTATCTTTAATTCCTAAAATGGTATCAATTTCATTCAAATATTTCATTTTGAAATTAGAAATTAGATACATTTTGGTTTCATTTATGCAAATCATATTAGTACTAAAAATTAAGATATCATCCACACAGAGATATATTATAACTTCATATTCTTTAGTAAATTTTGAGTAAATGCATTTATCTGCTCCATTATATTTAAAACCATTGGCTATTATGGTTGAATCAAACTTTTCATGCCATTTTTTAGGAGCTTGCTTTAGCCCATAAAGTGACTTAATTAATTTACAAATTTTATTCTCATTATCTGGAAAAATAAAACATTCTGGTTGTTTCATGTATACTTCTTCCTTTAAATCACCATTTAAAAGGCTGTCTTAACATTCATTTGATGCATATGTAATTTATAAATGTAAGCCAAAGCTATAAGAACTCTAATGGATGTTATTCTAGCTACTAGAGCATATGTATCAAAATAATCCATGCCTTCTTTTTGTTTAAAACTTTTTACAACTAATCTTGCTTTAACGGTTTGTACAAAACCATCTGTATTATAATTCTTTCTAAACACCCATTTATATCTTATAGGTTTAAAACCTGGAGGTAAATCTACTAAGACCCATATATTATTGGACATAATTGAGTCTATTTCATCATTTATAACCTTTTTCTAAAAAGCAACATCTCTTGAAGTTATTGCTTCATTAAATGTTTTAGGGTCTTCATCTACATTTAGTAGAATTGGTGTTTTATTAAGCACTTTGGTTCTATTTCCTTCTACTAGGAATACTATAAAATTTGGTGAAACAAAATTAAAAGGCAAAAGATTCTCTTTTCTAGTTCTTTTGCTCTTTCTAAGTTCAACAGAATCATTACTTTCTTTTCTTTTATTTTCAGTTATAGGAATCATTTCAATTTGTTTCTTCATACCAATTTCAGTATCATATATAAACTTATTTTCAAAAAATTCTACATGAATAGATTCGACAAGAACGTTAGTATTTAAATCAAGAAGTTTATATATTTTTGAATTCTGTGCATAACCAACAAAAATACTTTTAATATCTCTAGGTCCTAGTTTTGATTTATGAGGATTAGGTATTTTATAAAAGGCAATGCACCTCCACATTTTAAAATAATCCAAATTTGATTTTCTGTCATGATTCTAAAGTTCATATGGTGTTTTTAAGAAATTCTATGAAAGAATTCTATTATGTATATGGCATTCTGTTAAAAGTACTTCTCCTTAAAATTTAGAGGTAATTTAGCATTTAACAGCATACTATTTACCATGTTAACTAAGGTTCTATTTTTTCTTTCGGCTAAATCATTTTGTTGAGGTGCATAAGGGGTTGTCATTTGATGAATAATTCCATTATCTTCATAACAAAGAGAAAATGAATCTGAAAAATATTCGTCACCCTTATCAGTTGGAAGAATTTTAATTTTTTTTCCTTTTGATTTTCAACAATTGATTTATATTCTTTGAATTTATCAAAAGCTTCATCTTTTGTTCTCATTAGATACACAAAAGTATAACGAGAACTATCATCTATAAATGTTATAAAATACCTTTTTCTTCCCATTGTTAATAAACCATTTAACTTACAAATATCAAAATGCACGAGTTCTAACAATTTTATATTTTTTTCAACTTTAGAAAAAGGTTTCTTAGTCATTTTTGCTTTAACACAAATTTCACATTTAATGTCATAATTTTTCAAGTGTATTATATAGCCATGCTTAGTCATATGATTCATATATTGATAATTTAAATGTCCTAATCTAGCATGCTATAAAAAAAGAAGAATGCTCAATGATATATGCAAAAATATTTTTTATTTGATCAATACTTAGTTTAAACATACCATCATTGGAATATTCTTTTTCAATGAATACACCATTTTTGGATGCTATAACTTTATCAGACTCTAGTACAATTTTAAAGCCTTTCTTACATAATAGATTTGCAGATACAAAGTTTTTTTTTAATCTTAAGAACATGAAAAACATTAAGTAAAGTTAGTTTCCGTCTTGAGGTGAATTTCAATTCAACCATTCTTTTTTCAATCACTTTACAGAAACATAATTTCACATAAGGATGTTTTATGGTCTCTTGCATTCTTCATAAGTCTTGAACTGTTCTTTGTTGTTACAAACATGAATTGTTGCACTAGAGTCTAGCCACTAATCAAATGACTTATTTGCAGTAGCCATATGAACTTCGATGATCATTTCAATTTGCATGTCAGTCACCATTGTAACAAGTTCATTAATTTCTTGCTCAACCAAATTTGCCTTGCTTTCAAAACTAGAACTAATCTTAATTCAAACGTTTTTTGTTATAACGTTTAATAATCAAATGTCATTTCTTTCCACAATGAAAACACATTTTATTTTTGTTAAATTTGGATTTCTTAAATCCATTCTTCTTGACTTTAAAATTATTTTGAAATTTACCAAAAAACTTGTGAGTTTTTTTAGAATTTTGTCTACTCACATAGTTCACATTGGAACCTCCAAGAAAGAGTGCATCTCTTACATGATTTTCTACTTCAATTTGTATGTAAGTCCGAAATTCTTCAATAGTGAAAATATATGTTGAATGCAAAATTTTATTCCTATATCCATTTCAAAATGGAGGAAATTTTGACAAAATAGCTCTAACTTGAAGTAAACCAGGAACCTTAATTTCTAGCCCACTTAACTTAAAAACCAAGATTTGCAACTCGTGCACTTGGTCCATGATTGGTTTGTCATCAGTTATTAAAAATTCAAAGTATTTCAAAGTCAAAAACTTATCAGTACCTTTCTTTTCGTTTATGTATTTGTGTTCAAGAGCAATCCATATTTTTTTTTTATATTTTCATATTTCTGTATAGGTTATATAGACGATTAGATAATGAATTTAAAAATATTTTTTTGATATTTTCATATTTTTTGTATAAATTATATAGACGATTAGATAATGAATTTAAAATATAACATCGACAGACTAGTTTTCTACCTTTGTCTACATCTCTTTGTTCAAGTTATATAAGTTTTTTTTTTTTTCTTTTGTAAGTATTTACGGTAGATTATTCATCTTTAATTTTGATTATTTTTTGATATATTACAAAGTGTAAAATTATAGTAACATTTATTTTTATATTTTATATGTGCTATATATAGACTTTTTATATTTACCTTTGACTTTTCATTCAATCAGCTTAATTTTGTTTTAACTTTAACTTTTTTTTTTTAATTTTTATAAATTTGCTTAATTATAACTCACCTGTGATAATATATATTTTTAATTATAAGATGCAAACAAAAAAAAAAAAAACTCGATAAAAATTATTTTTTTAGTATCAAGAATGGACACATGTCACTTGCTAGTCCATGAATTAAATCTCCTAAAAAAACATGATTTCAACAAAATAATTAAAACAATATTAAAAATAATTAAGATATTCAATCTTTCAATATCAATTTTCTCTTTTAAGTTAAAACTGTTTTTTTATTTTAACAATTTTAATATTATCATTCATTGTAGTGTGGAAGATTTGACTTTTGCAATGTGGGTTATTTTGTATATTAAGTAATCTATACCATTCTATACTATTTTTTTCATTATATTAGTTTACGTTTCTATGTATAATTAAATTTTTTACCCTATTACAATATTATCTCTCTTTATTTTTAAATTTGAGTAAAGATAAACATATATGATATATATTATTACAGATAAAAATTATGTAAAGTAAAGACACGCTATTTTCTATTTGCTTTTTCTTTTCAAAATATTTATTTATTTTTATGACAAGTTAGTTAAATTTATAAATTTTATGTGTTATAAATTTTGAAGATTTAAATATAATTTTAAAAAAACTATTAATTTATATGTATATATATTAAATATATAAAATTATTTCATACATTACATGATCACAATCTAATTTTTTATAATAAAATATATCATTTTACTTCTATATAAAACAAAATTTTAAGATATCAAATAATTATATTTAAATCCATGTACGTCATCACATTTCGAGCTTTAATCATATATATTTGTCAACATATATAATTGTATTTATACACAAATATAAAAAATTTTTAACATATTTTTGAAACCTACATATTAATACCATCACAAAAATGGATGAAAATTTTATTTGTTTCACCTTTTCACTTTATATTTTTATTAAATTTTAATGAGATCAATACAAGAAAATTATCAAAATTTTATTTAGTTATCCAAAGAAAAAAAAACTGCTACCTAAAATTAATACAAAATATACGGGGTTCCTTTGTAATCCTCAATTTCTTACAGACATTTGTCCCACCAAATACCTTTGCAAAAAAAACAAAAAAAAAGAACCACATCAAGCAGCACTTCCAAATCAAAAAGCAATCCACTTGGCATCATTTTTTTCCCCCTTTTTATCACAAAGTAACAATGCTTTTTTTTTTTGACAAAATTAATAGGAATGACTTTAAAATGGAGGAGATGACATTTAACTAAACCCGATAATTTGTAGATCATTTATGTATTCTTAACAAGTTGTGAATTCAATTTTATTTATTTTGTATTTAATACATATAAAACATAAAAATTACCACATTATAATTTATATTTATATATAAAACATATAACATATATTTTTTAGTTTTATTAAATTTATATATAATTTTTACTAAAATTTTAAATAATATAATTTTTTTCTTATGATCAAGACGTTATACGACCATGTTTGTTTAAAATTGATACGTCTACCTTTAAGAAGCAAATAGCTAGATGTCTGTAATAAGCAAGTCCAGGGAAATACTTATAATGCAGATAACAAGGATTAAAGAATACTTTGCGAGGAGAAAAAGAACAATAAAAATACAACAGGGTCTTCCTTGCCTACTTCCTGGTCCACCAGTCCGACGCTTGCGATAGAGGAATAACGCTACAGCCATTTTTGTTTCATCTTTGGAGATTAATTTTCGATTTTGTTCATAATCCAAGAAATCACACTGGTGTATTTACAGCCATTTGGAATTGCTCCGGAACACGGAGCAAAGGAGCTTGAATTGTACCAGGCTTGCCAAGCTGACCACAGGCAGCCATCTGATCATCGCCTCTACTGAGTCGCAAGAAAACAGTGCAACCACCTTTTGCTAAAATATTTCTGAACCCAATCATCTTCTCGTCACTGCTTGGTCTAAAATGGGATCCACAATGAGGATTGAATGAGATAAGATTGATTTTGCAAGGAATGCCCTTCACAAGATCGATTAACCTTTTTGCATCCTCGATGCTGCAGATAAAAATCAATGTCAAAGGCCCATAGACAGTTGGAATATATCATGGAACATGTTACCCCGTGCCTAGTGGCATAGGTTAAGGTGAATATTTAAGGAAAGAAAATTATAGTTAATGAAATGTTTCCTCTTGAATTTAGCAAAAGTGGTGCATTAAATTTAAAAATATTTCCTAAAATAGTGATTAAATAACTCTTAACCAGTACCTATAACCAGATCTCACTAGTTTAAGAGAATGGCAATCATCAATGCAAAAAGAAGAGAGAGATAATGATGAATGAACTAGAGTTTTATAATAGACCAACTACTAGAAATTCGAAGTTACAGCATTGCGAAGGCAAAACTCATGGTGACCTGCTGGCATTCAATCTACAGACCCCGTACCAGTACTTTGCATTCCAGCAAATTGTTTGAACACAATTCAATGACATGTTAAATGGAATCATGCCCAAATCTCAGCAACACTTGAATTTGGCCTTGAAATTACACAATGACTAGGTGGCTAATTACAGTCTATAATTTTCAATATTTAAAGGGAAAGGATGGTGGTGTCCAATCTAAATATGCATCCTAAAAATACTTATCCATATAAAAGATTTCACAGAAGGGAAAGGTTATCTAACCTGTCATTGATTCCGTCAAGCATTACATATTCAAATAGAACTTTGTAGTTGTGTTTGAACCGTAGTTCCTCTCGAAGGGTCTCAAGAAGCAATCCTAATTTATACTTCCGATTAATTGGCATGATCCAATTTCTGACCTACATAATTTGTTTAAAAACATGAAGTCAGTCTCCCACTTTCTAGATCTCTGCCTCTCTCTGTGTTTGTCTTCCTTGGTGTGTGAACGTGCATTGTGCACTGCACAATAGTGCAGGCTTCTCTCCGTAACTTCCCATTTATGTGTGTGTGTAAGTGACAAAGATGAGCAGCAACAATAATATAGATGACAGCAAAGTACCTCATCAGTTGTAGCATTCAAACTAACAGCTAAGGCACATTTGGACTCATTGAGAAAACGTTTCAGCTGGGGGACAAGTCCACTAGTGGAAACAGTTACCTTGCGAGGGCTGAAGTGAAGGCCCTGTTCATGCACCATAACATCGGCAGCTTTTATGACATTTTCAATATTATGGAGCGGCTCTCCCATTCCCTACAAATTCATTTAGCAGAAACATATTATGGGCAGTATAGGTTCACTGAAAATGAAAATTATTGACTACTCAAAACCTACCTGGTACTGAAAATCAAAATTATTGACTACTCAAAACCTACCAGGTAATCTACAAAATCACTGTCGAGTCCGCTAGTGCTCTATAAAAACAGGATTACAATCCCAAAAGATTTTCATTATTCATTACAAGCTTGATGCAAAGAAGCAGATACAACAACAATAACAACAAAGTAAACCTTATACCACATAACTCTTGGGTTGGCCATATGAAAGGCCAAAAAGAGAATCATGTTAGGTCATAGTTTTGAATCTTCTTGCACCACTCATTTGTATCAAAAACAACATTTTCATCTATATCCTTAACCCTCATATCATTTCTTATTACTTGCATCCACGTCTTTTGTGAACTACCTCTAGCGGTTTTGGAAGCAGATGTGAAAAATAAAATATAAATAATTAATTTAATGCACAACTTTCTCATGTCAGGAAACCCTAGCTGCATAAAGAAAAATAACAAAGGCCAATAGAGAATTAGTTGCAATTATTTTCTTAAAAATAAAGATTTCACTAAGACTAGATTGACTCTGTTTGCTTTACGAAACATTTTCAAAATACAAAATGCCATCTAGAATTGCTAGATGGAACATGCCAAACTAAGAACATAAATATACGGCTAATAGATGAAAATACTGCAGATTCCAATGTGTGATAGAGCCCTATTATTTTCTAAACACTAGATTAATAAGCACTGGCAATCTACAAATAAACATACCATAAATACAACATTTGTAATGGGACCAACATGACTAGAGAGCAATCGCCTTGCATATACAGCTTGCTCTACTATCTCAGCTGCAGTTAGATGTCGCCTCAAACCCATCCTGCATGCAGATACATGTATCAAAGAAATGCACCTTAAAAAGGTACGAAACAATCTAGATTCCCACTGTCAAAAGAGGAAATTAAACACTTGCCTGCCAGTATAGCAGAATTGGCAATTCATGGCGCAGCCCACTTGACTTGAAACACAAACAGTTGTCCTGCCCCTATCACAGGGTATCACAACTGTTTCTATTACCAACCCATTGTCCAGCGCAAACAATATCTGTAACCTCCTGCATAAGCTTCAAAATCAATGAAAAGATTCTCAAAGTAATGCAAGAAAAAAAGCAAATATGGACATAACATTCTAAGGCTTGTATTGAGATTGAAAGAATCCGAGTCAAATTGAATAGTTGAATTAAATTGCAAAAGATTGTTCGTAATTCGAAACAGATTCGATTATTTGAACCTTTCTAGTGCCATCAGATGCAGTGAGAATATCTTTCAAAGACAAGGCCCTAAATTCAGCATGCTCACTCAGCATTTTCTTGAAATCTTTGTTTAATCCTAAAAACCACGATTACCCATTACTCCAATAGTCCAATCAGTATAAAACAAATGCTCAAGAAATAACAAAGGAAATTAAATCAGTTTGCCCAGTAGCAAGGCTACAAAAACCAAAGCATAAACAATGTTCTCTAATGGATGAAGAAAAAATAATTGAAATAAACCAAAAAAAGAAAAAAGAACCTTCTAGTTCATCAATATTATGTGCCCAAATGTTATCTCCATAGAGACGCTTCCACAACATTAAAGCCTGACCAGGCCTGAATCCATGTGATTGAACCCATTCCTGACAAAGAAAATCCCCAGAAGATTAGCTACAGAATTCAAATTACAAACTTCACTCCATAAAAATTAAATAAAATAAAGGCCCACTTGAAGCTCGAAATAATCCATTCCTTTCAGAAGCACCTTGGAGCCTTTTTCCGGATTATTATAGCTTTCCCCACCTCCAAAATCAGGGAAATTATCGTTTTCGCGGAGGGAAAGTAGTGGGGATGCAGAGGAGCAGCAGGGGGTTGAGATTGAGATCGAGCGACGATTGGAGGAAGCGAAGGAAAGGGAATGAGGTGACTTCAACGATGGGAAGGAAAAGAAAGGGTGACGGTAAGTATTTGGAAGAGTAGTAGCGGGAGAAGAAGAAGAGGAGGCCATCGCTAGGAGGAGAGAATTTGCAGTGAGGCGGACTCGCCTCATCCACATACAACCCATCACCATTTCGTTTTAGTTGTCTACTTGCTTGTAGGAGAATCGGTGATTTCATCAGGGTTTTTCCTTTTCTTTTTTTTATTCTCATATTATATACGACGTCGTAGCCTTCACTTAATGTTTGAAATTTTACTTTGTTTTTTCCTTTTCTTTTTTCTTTTTCACTGGGATGTTAACAACAATAAAAATTGTGTTACAGTGGGTGGCCCGGTTAATATCGTGACGCCACGTCAATATCCATTCATAATCGTGTTAGTGACCACCTCAATGGATTTAATACTTAATATCAGATCATGTTAACACAAATTCATTACTCGGCAATGAGTTTCCTTGCCTCATTTACTCTCATACGTTTACTTAGTTCTCACCTTAATCCTTTTCTCTATCTCTCCCGCTTGTTATATTTTGTTGATTTGAGCGTTGGAGCATGTCTCAAAATCTTACCTCGGATACTCACTGATTCCTGTTTTAGGTGACTCAGTTTTCAAGTCAGTCACATGACCAAGAGCAACTTTCCAGCAAGCACCCAGTCACCAGACCCTGCTAAACATCAACAAACTGAAATGCAAATTTGAAAGTTACGTAAAATCATGGAAACAAATAAACAACATGAAGGAAGCGTCATTTTTGCCGATTCATATAAATTATACCTCTCCACCTCGTCTAACTTTTGTTCTTTCTCTCTTATCAAACAAGCAAAAAATGTTGCTTTTGTTTTACCCTTTCTTTTTCTTCAACTTTTCTTTGTAAGATTGAAAATTGAAATCAATTACTCATTTCGGAAAAGTAAGGGGGATTTAGAGGAATACATGAGAGACTTGTTCAGATGTCAATGATCAGTCGGAAGAAAATGTTTTCAAATTCAATCCTGGGATGTGAATCCTGTTCACTTGACATTTCCAAACATTTTTGTCAATCATCAAAAGTTAGGCAGGTGCAACAAACAATCATCAAAACAGGTAACATAAAAACTTGTACATAATGTAAGAGATACAATCTCAAAAAGTGACTGGAAACCAAACAATAAAAAACGTCATGAAAAGTCTGCTTATAAAACTACGTGGACCAACAATTCAAGGGTTCTTCATCTTAATCCTTAGCTTTCTCGCTATTTGTGTTGCTTTTGGATGAACTGGCCGCCTGTTACCATAACACTGTTCTACCTCTACCCAATTAATAACCTTGAGTATGAGAGACTGAGGAACTTTCCTAGTATCTCCATCAGCTGTGCCTTTGGATTTCTTCATACCATTCTCCAGAGCTTTCTCTAGGAAGTCCATAAACCAATTTCCTGCTTCTGTTTCAATTTGCTTACCCAATTTTATTGTATTGCTTAAGCTGCTCGATAATGGTTTCTTGTTTTCATCATTCTCACCCACACCTTCAGGGTGCAGCTTGCCAAGTGGAGCTGATGGTGGTCTCTTATCTGAAGAGATCTTCGGGTTAGAATTTGACCTTAGGAGCCTCCCAATGTTGGTCTTCTGTTCACTTCTCTCGGGAAAGGCTGCAATTGACTTGTACAATGCAGCTCGCCTTTTTGATGAACTCAGCTCTGTATTCCTGCTTTGGTCCATTGAGTTGTGCACAATTTCATGCAAGATTGCTGGCTTATCTTCACCTTGTTGATCTTTCTGTTCAGCTTTTGAGTTTTGTGCCATTTCAGTAGCTGCTTGAATGGATGCTATGTCATTCACGTTCTGTACAATTTGGGCGTGAAATTCCAGAAACTGACCGAAGCATGCAGCTGGTGCATCTGGTTTTGCTGAATTGCTCAAATTGGAAAACATCCTACCACCAGACAAAGTACATCGACCTTAGCAGACATAAAACTTCAACTGACAACAAAGAAGAGAGAAAAACAGTTTTTAAGTTTATTTACTTAAGAGAGCGAACTAAACTCTCTGTGGCTGAAGCATCTCTTAGTGCTTGAAGAGCGATCTTCTGAGCTGTTTCTCGCTGCAGCACAGCTTCCTGTTAAAGTATAAACTATAAAGTCAGCAACCAGAACTAAATCCATGACAAATTGACAATTTTCTTAGTTGACAGGAATCATAGTCTCACCTTGCCCAACATGCCAAGCTTACCGTGCAAAGTCATGGGTAGACTTGTCCTATTATCAAGGGCTGAGTCACTATCAAAGTGAGATTCCGGTTGTTGTGCAGTAACACTCGGTGGGTTGGAGTTGTTCTGTACATCTCCACCCATATTGAGGGAAGCAGCTACCCCCCATCCACGCCTTAAAGTTGGTGGTGGGGTTGAACTTTTCTTTTCCTGCAGAAAAGTAAGATTCGCTTTCCTCAGCAAAATGGCGATGAATGATCACAAAAAAATTAAAAAGAAAAAAACGAACATCATCGAAAAATTTAACATATTAGAGTAAAACATAGCAGTTGCTAAATGGAAAAGGGGAACAATGTACCTACAGCTGAGTTGAGAGGACTAATTGGGATCCTAGGATCTCGGTCGCAGACACTTTTGCTCCGAGGAAACCTTGAGGCAGAAAAAGGCGCAACACAGCTTTTCCTAAGCAAAGCAGGACTTTCTCCTTTAGTATCCACCACTTTAGCCAACAACCCCCCACCAAAAGAGCACCTTACACCAGCATTAGCATTCCCATCCTTTCCTATCCTTCTTATCATTGGAGACATCATTGGAGTTCTCACACAAATAGATCGCTCTTTCACCGGAGTACACTGATCAAAATCCAATGGAACCGGCTTTAATAATAAAGGAGAAGAAATCTCATCAGTCCCATTAGGACCCCTTCCCCAAGAACCTCTTCTATGTAGCTTAGAATCTTGTTTCTTCTCACTTTTCTCCCCCTTTCCTCTTAAACCCATTAACGGCTCAGGTGTCCCAACTAATGGATGCCTTCCAGGGAGCGGTTTTGCACCTTTAACAACAGGAACAGGAGAGCCAGGCTCTAATCTATCAACATAAATGAACTGCCCAAGTTGCATTTTATTACTAAGAACAAAATCATCTTGGTCTGAAGGAAGACTAACATAAACTGAATGCGAAGAATCTGAGACCTTGATGTAAAACCCATGTTTAGGCCAAAGATTCTTCTCATCAAGATCTGCCGGTACAATATCAGTTACCTGCAAAAGTGAGCTCCTATGTTCACTAGTTGGCTTGACCCCAGTGTTCATCCCATCAAGTAACTTCAGCAGAATCCCAGGTGCCAATGTTGCCATAATTTCCGGAACTTCTTCTCTCAAGAAGGACCCAAATGAAAGAATCAAAGATTTTTCAATTTTCAAGTCATAAAAAGAGAAGGGAATGCTCAATTAAGAGTAAGAAAACAGAAGAGAGCTTTGGTAGGACGAAGAGCGGTGGGACGTTTGGCAACGGTAAGTTGAGATGAGAAAGCAAAGGTTTTTAAAATTTGGAATTTTGGAACGTTGTGGCAACGGTCAAATGGTGGTGCGTCCTGTCATAATGATTTTGAATTGTGCAAATTCGGTAAATATGTACTTTCCGGCTGCTCACCCACTTCGCCTGCGATTTGGATAATCAGTACCGTCACCATATGAAGTTACGTCGTTTTATTAACTCTTGAAATGAACCAGAATTTCGGCTAAATGATCCCTGATTTTTTGGATTTTGATCCAATTTCTCCAAAATGAACCAGGCCCAACGCAAAAACTGGGAATTAACATTATAACACGGACTTGGTTTAACGTTGCTATTGCAGTTGAAAACAATTCGAGTTAACAACGTTTAAAAGTGTGGTGAGAAAAATATTATTTATCTAATAAAAGATTTTAGTTAAGAATTTTAATTGTTTAATATTTTTGTAAAAAAATGTTGTGATAAATTGAAATGTTAAAAAATATATCACATAATAAAAATTTAAAAATATAGACATAATAAAATTATTTTACTATAGTAAAAACAGAGTGTTTGTTTTGGGTTTACAAATCGGACTTTTAAACCCAAAAACACTTTTTTAAAAAAAATTTGTAACATTAAAATTGAATCAAATGCAAAAACCACTTTCGACCTTAATACTATGGTAATAAATTTCGGGAGTAGATGTCTTAGAGCCTGTTCGGTAATTAACTTTGGGCCCAATAGTGCTGCAAGCCCTGTTCCTTTCGGAACGAGCAGCACGATTGGAGATGTCCCCGTCACACTGGAGGGCCAGGAGCGCCCCATGCGTGTCCTGCTCCAGTCAACACATCGTATTAGACTTATTTCCTAAAGAGATTTAATAAAATGCCCAGAGTTTTTAGACTTATTTCAAAATTTTCATTCCAACCCTAATATTAGGTACTTCTGAATATAACAACCATGTCACATTCATAAGGTAAAACGAACAACATGACTGAACCCGAGTACAAAATCCAAATTGCACAGCTATTCAATAAATCTCTCTTCCCAAAATTATAAATATCTTAAGATATGCAAGGAAGAATCAGGTGACAACAATATTAGGCCAAAAATCTTCTTAGAGAACAAGGTGGCAAGAGATGACATATGACTCTATTCAAAGTTAAATATTATGTTCAATCTCAATACGAAACAAGCAAGCAGAGAATCGAAATCTCCTGCTGCAGCTGCAGGTCTGCACGGCACCAAGAATATGGGACTAGAGGCATTGCTATAGAGGTGTCGCAAATCCTGCCAGCACAAACATGTCAATAACTTAGACCTGAAGACCCACTGCAGTAAATGACTATGCAGGCTCACTGCAGTCATGCACTCGTGCTAAAACATGCATAAGTTATCATGGTTGGAAACTAATGAAGAGAGACACTTCATAAGTGTGATCCGTGATCAGATATCAGAAAGTGTTTATTCAAGAATTTCAAGTTAATAACATTGTATTCAACTTCTTGATAAAGTTCTCTCTTGCATATTAAAAGCATGAGACGGAACACCAAGTATTATCTAAGTTGAATAACAACAGATAAAGTATAAAACTTAAGCAAGTTGTTCCTGCAAAATTGTTTCAAGTGGTGTCAACCACTTCAGTAAAATGTAAAGAGCAAGCGGAAACTTTTGGCAAAAGATTAAAGTTCAAAAACAACCTGCCATTTGACATTTGCAACAGAGGGTGTTAACCCTTCATTTTTGAAGGTGAGAAATGATTTTTTTTTTTTTTCAAATCTCCCAAAATCCAAACTTTTTCCTAAAATGATTTTAATTCAAAAAATTGTTCTACAACTAAGAGTTCATATTTAGTTTTGTTATCATCAAAATCAATATGGGTCAACACACAGAAAACAAGCATTAATTGTTCAAGTTTCCTAAGAAAAAAATTTGCAGCTGAGTTATCTTCTTCTAGCTCCAATTTCCCACTTCTCAATTGTGAAACTCTTATTATTTTTTTAAAGAACCAAATAATTTTCTTTTCTCTAGGAACTGAAAGCTGTGTAGCAAAATCCCATTCTAAAACTGGAATGCAAGCTAAGAAGCCACAAAGCAATTATCCCAAGAAAAAGGATGCACAAACATGGATCTGGAAGAGATATAGTAAGGTTCAGCATCAACATACTAAGAAAAAAAAGTTTTTTAACACCGGATTTCAATAAAGTTCCACTACCAAATGCTTCATAAGGAGAGGCAACAAATCTAACCTTAAAAAATAACATCAAAAGATGTCAAGGCGGTTTCTTAACTACTGCAATGGTTGTCAATATATTAGACAAATAGTCATTGCCAATACTTAGGATACATCAAAGGAAGCTTGCTAACTCCTAGCACCAAATAGTTGCACAAGAATTTTACTCATCTTCATAATCGAAGGTTAAGCTTACGTGCTTAAATGAGAACCATAAATTAGTATTGGATAGGTGGTTTCATCCTCGACAAAACCAAAATAATCTTAAACCATGGATCCCAAATCAGATAGATTCTCGAATCCACAGAATAGGAAAAACAAACTGAAAAGAAGCCTAGTAGTTGCTCTATTTTCTGTTCATTCAGCACGGCCAACTTAAATTCAAAGGAAATAGTGCAACATAAGACCATAAGGTTCACTGATATTTCTTCAATCCTATCAATCATGCTCTTTTACCTTTTCTAAGTTCCCATCACTTATAGTTTACCAGTATATCAAAAGAAATCTATTGAGTTTTATAGAAATCAATCATAACTCAATCTTATATAAATTCAATTAGAGAACAAAATTGCCTTAGGAAAAGAGCCCTTAAGCCCTAAATTTCACCATTAGCCAATTCAGCCACAATTTTCACAAATCCAAAATATGAAACATACATTGGCCAACAATCTGACTCTTCTCCTCCGAAAAAATAGATAAAAGGATAACAATAAGGGGCTACATACAATAATGTTCATAATAATGATCAACCCAAATGGTTTCTCCCCTCAATGTATGTAGAAAAAAATTCAGCAGCTCCAAAAGCCATAATATGCCCACTCAAAATAGTATTTTTCTACCACTCTATATTTACCCATCAAAGATTAAACAACAGTGCCAAAACAGAAGAAGAGCACATACATTCATTGTTCTCCCCTCAATAAAAAAGAAAAGGCACAAATGATAAGCTGCAGCAATGAAATAGACATTTGCAAAACGAATATACTGCTATAATGCAACTCACAAGCCACTACAATATGCTAAGGAAAAATATAATAGCCGTACAGTCAGTAGAATTACCTTCTGACAGACACCCCCAGCTTTGATTATGCAAAGACAGCAATGAAGTGAACAAGGCAGAAGCTGTAACACTATGCAACGGGATCAAAGTTACTGCAGCAGCCAATTCCACTGGGAGCCTAAAAGAGACACATCAAACAATTCTTACTCAGAACTTAGATCAAATCAGCAATAATTTCCCAACAAGATTTCTTAAATAATTACTAGAAGCAATACAAAAAATTAGAGTAAAACACCCAGAATATTAACAAAGAAATGAAGCAGTAACTTTGAGGATGGAGGCAAACCTGGAAGAAGTGAGATTGCGGAGAGATAATCGAGATGCAGACATTGGCTTGGGAGAGAAAACGGCAGCCAGCTTATTATTGGCAGCTCTTGACGATGTTGAATGGGTCAAAATGGTCTTGGCTGAAGCACAATAGAACTGTAGGGTTCTTCTTCCACAACTAGCCGCCATGTTCCGTTGGTCTTTACCAATAACCCAGAAGCCTAAAACCTCAGGGTTTGATTTTTTTTTTTTTGTTTTGTAATTTTTTTTACATAGAAAGAGTTGTTGGTTGTGGGCTGGATCTTGGCCCACAGAATCCAAAAAATGTTTGATTTTTGGGTTTCAAATTTGTTTCCTTATTCATTTTAACAATAATTAGATTTTACTAATTGAATAAGGTGATAGTCCAATGTGGAACTAATATGCACCTTTGCTAATATGTATGTGTCATATGGAATTTTAGGATCGCAAGATGAATTTAAAAATATAAGAAGGTGTCATCAAATATTTTTTGTTAGGCGTGATTTATTATATATTAAAATTTATTTTTTTTGTAAAATCATAAAATTAATTAAAATTTTCATTAAAAAGATAATATTTGGGTTTAAAAAGAGAGTTTGATTTCATGATATGATTACATGTGAGTAAGGTTTAGTACTCTCATAGCCTCCATTTAAAAATGGTATCATTTAATTATACATTATCTTTTAATCTTGTTAAAAGTGATCTTAATTTTGATATTTAAAAATAATTTCTTTAAATCTCTTTTTATTATCAAATTTTTGTTTCTTTAATTTTCTTAAAAAATTATTTCATTTTTATTTAAAAAATAAATTGGAACTTTGCTATTGAAAAATTTTCAAAAATCCTTTAATACGTTAATAATATCAGAATTTCTTATAAACTATTACTCGAATTTTCTTAAGATCTATCTTTGAAGGTAGTACTTTTAATTAATTAATATAAATAATATTCATACATTATTATAAGTAATTTTATTCTTAAAAAAGCTCATTTTTTATTTTTTTTTATTTTTAATAATAAAAAATAAGAAACGAAAATCCTTTGTATTGAATATTTTTCTAAGTATTATAATACCTTGGTAGCATTTTAGAAAAATATCATCGTCTAAAGATTTTAAAGGAATCATTACTTAAATTTTCTTAATATCTCATTATCAGAGAATTTAATTTTTTATTTTACAAAGATTTTTTAAATATTTTTTATATATATTTATTTTTAAAAATTTTAAATAAATAAATAAAACTAAAAAAAGAATGGTCAAAGCCAATCAAATGTTCAATGATGGTTTAGTCTGGTTCAACAGTTTGATAGGCCTGTTTAGGTGTTGAGCCAAACTTGATTGATTCAATTGTAGTTTGACCAGTTTAGTTGCTATTTAAGTGGTTTAACCTAGTTCAACTAGTTTTCAATCGATTCACAAGCGATTCGGGTAGTTTAGTTGGTTTAGTTAGATCGATCCATAGTTGGCCAGTAACAATTGGGTCTCGAGTTAGGTGCACGGACCTTAGGTCCTTTTGAGCTCACGCATGAGTCATTTGTGTAGACATTTTTGTATAGACATTTAATTTTGTCTGAATCAAATCAATTTTGTTAGATTTTTGTACTTGATTTAAATGTTTCGATTTGGATTAGATTATCAAATTGAGCTTGATTAGGCTTGGTTTCGAATTAGTCATTTTTGAATTATTTTTGTATGAACTCAAGTTTAATTCTATTTAATTATTGGATCAATTTTAAGTTTAAGTTTAAAGGCCCAATTAAGGGTCCACTTGTAACTTGAAAAAGGCCTAATTGCAAGCTTAATTCATAGCCCAATTATGGCCCATTTAAAGCCCAATGGATAGCCCATTTTAAAGGCCCAATTAAAAGCCCAAATAGGCTTATCTCGTAGCCTAAAAGAAGGCCCAAATATGACCCATTACATGGCCTGCTTGCAATTTGGAAAAAGGCCTTAAGATAGCCCATTACATGACCCCATTTATAGCCCATTTATAGACCTAAAATCATTTTTTTTATGGCTTAAATATGGCCCCTATGCAAGGAGCCCAAGCAAAAGCCCATTCCCTTTCACATGAAAGCATGCACGACATGCAGAAAAGGTAGTCAGCTTAGAAGAAGCTAAAGCTGTAATAGAAAACCAAGACAAAACTAACCCACAGTAAATAGGGGTTAACATCAGTGGAGGAGCAAAAAGAAAAAAGGAAAACTCAAAAACATTTGGTTTTTTTAGCTATTATATTCATGAGGGGCTGCTGGGTTTGTTTTTTTTTTAAGGGAAAAGGCTATTAAAAAAAACAAGAGGAGTCTACCAAAAGGAAGAAAAAGGAAAAACTAGTGAAAAAACTAAAAAAAAAAAAAGAAAACGAAAGAGCTGAAACCAAGGAAGAAAAAAGGTTTGAGGTTTGGAACCAAAAAAGCAAATAAAAGAGCAAGACAGGTAACTTTTCCATAATATATTTTTTTATGAAAGCTTAAAGCTTTTTTTTTGTATTTATTTTTGTGTTTTCTTATTATAATAAAAAATAAAGAAAAGTAATTTTAAATACCAAAATTAGGATTTTTTTGTCAAAATTAAAGGATAACACATAATTAATTGGTACTGTTTTTTTATGGGCGCTGTGAAAGTGCTAATTCTTCCTCATGCGTAACCGATTCTCAAAACCAAACAGTTTTCCCAAACCCAAAAATTATTTTTTTAATAAATTTTAAGATTTTATTAAAAAGGTAAGTTTTAATATGTGGCTAATCACACCTAGCCAAAAAAGATTGGTGGTGACCTTTTTTTTAGTTTATCTAGTGATCCCCAAAACCGTTATGACAAGTTGAATTTTTTTTTTTCACTTTATTTCAAACATTTAAAAATAAACCCTTTAAAACCCTCTTAACTCTCTCTAAAACAAACTAATCTGCTAGCCGCCATTTTTAGATTTCGATCGGCCTCCATTCTACTGGCCGTCATCTATCGTTATCAGCTACCACTTGCCAACATAAGTTTGCCCTTAAAATACACTAAAATCTTCTTCTCTATCTCATCGTTCTCGTTTTCTAATTGGTTTCCTCAAAACCAACCTTTAAAACTCTAAATTTAAGCCTAAAACTTTTGATTTCAAACCTTAAAAAGGTTTCCATTATCGATCACATGGTAACTGCTTGAGACTATATCCTTTCCATGGCTAAGACCTTCCTTTTCACAAAAAACTAAGCCTTAAAACCTTTCAAAATGCCCTAAACCTAAGCCTTTGCCCATTGTTTTGTTTTCTATGGCTTTTTATGAAAGGAATGTGGGTTTTTTTTGTTTTTTTTTTTTTAATAAATTGAATGGGTTTCAACAATGTAAGCTTTTGGTGAATCTTTTTAAGGTTTTTTTATTCGACTAAGGATTGTGAAGGTTTCATAATGGTGGTTAATGGTAGCTGGTTTGGCTTAGGTATTGACTTTGGTCTTTGCTTGGTAATAGGTTATAGAAAGGGTAGGCTATTGATGGTCTTGGTCGTTTTAGGAGTATGGCCATTTTAGGTGGCGGGGGTAGTAGTCAATAATGGTTGTAATGGTTGTGGTTTAGGTTGTTTGATGGTGGTGGTAGGGACGAATTAAAAGTTTCGACAGAGTTTTTTTGGTGTCAAATCGACCTCTTTTCTACTTGCTTTTGGCAGTGTTTAAAAAGGATTTTGGTGGCCTAAAAAAGTTTGGGATTTAGGCAATGGATCAAAAAATAGGGTGCTACCAAAATAGGGTGGTTGGCAACTAAAATTTAATTGCAATGGTGGATGTAGGCTGAGAGTTTGACAAGTTAGAAGAGGTTGGGTAGTGATGTGCATGAAACCTGCCCCAAATTTTATTTGTATTTTTTTAATTAATCAAATTGATTCTATTAAAATGGATTTGGCCTTAACATTGAATTTGGGCTTACAAGCCCATTAGACCTTTGGGTTTTAATGAATTATGCAATTTGAAATGGACAAGATCATAAACCCAAAAAACCCAAACAATGTTCAATTGAGTTCAATAAATTTAAAAGGCTTGAATCTTTAATTAGCTTATCTCAACAATTCATAATCCAAAAATAAACATTAAGTCAACTTGGTGAAATTTTGTGTGTGAGCTCGAAAGTTGAATTAATTTAGAACATGAAATAATTAATCTGAAAAAAAAGTAGGTGTCTATAGCTCCTTTTATTTGCATATTACTAAGAATTAGGAATAATGCAAAGACATAGACAACAATTTTGTCTGGACAAGCGACTCAAAGTTCTTTTTATTCTTCCATTCTGGATTTTTTTTTTGTATTTGTATTTTGATTTTCTTGAGAACTCGAATCTCACTATTGAAAATATCAGCACTAATATAGATTTGAACATAGAAAGCTTAGATATCATCATTGAGAAAATTCAAATGACTTAAGATATTACCATTGAAGGGAACTTAGATATCATCACTAAGAAAATGCAAATGGTTTCTAATATCACCATAAAAAAGGTGCATAGACATCACCACCAAAAAATGAAAATGACTTCAAATATCATCATCGAAAGAATGCAAATGGTTTACAATATCACCACTGAAGAGGAACCCAAATGTCACCATCGAAAAAATGCCAATGACTTTGGCTATCATCATAAAAAAAATCAAATGACTTCGAATATTGCTATTGAAAAAATATAAATGACTTTAGATATCATCACCGAAATAATGTAAATGACTTCGAATATCACTAGTGAAAGAATTAAAACAATTTGGATATCACTATAGAAAATTTGGATATTGCCACCGAAGATTTTGAAATTAATTTGGATGTAACCACCAAAGTGTTGAAAAAATTTGGGTATTACCACCAAAGACTTTAGAAAAAATTTGGATGTCATCACCAAAGACCTAGAAAATTTGGATATCCCTACTGAAAATTAAAAAAAAAAAAAACAATTTGGATGTCACCACCAAAACTTTTGAGAAAATTTGAATATCATCACTAAAAAAAATCAAAAGAAAACTTAAATATCACCATAGAGATGTCAGATATCACCATTGAAAAGTTTGAAAATAATTTATCACAATATTTTTCTTAACTATTGCCAATTTCACTAGGCTTAAAACTTTTATCTTGTGCCAACTTAAAATCTCATTAAAAATCTTAAAAATTCTCAATCTTATCTTTTTCTAAGAAGTGCTCTTATTGGATGTTTTGCCTATTTTCTTTTCATAGATTTTTTTTTCTTTTTAATGGTTCCACAGTTTTCAAATGC